TTGTTTATTAACTGCAATAATTATACATACAAACAATTAAAAGCACTGTTTGTCATTTTGCTATAATTTAATCTATTATATCTTAACTAAATTTATTATAGCTATTTTTCACATATTATGTTCAAATTGAACAGTCTAATACAGATGTAAACATTTAAAAATTACATTAAATCTATGAATTGGTATCACATACTATGTCCTATATTTTATGGTAAATTGTATAAACCATAAGAACTTTTGTATGCATACGAAAAACTAAGATTTAATATTATATCAAGATCAAAAAATTATATTAAGATCAAGAAAAAAATTGAGTCATTGTTTAATTCATAAAAGAATTTACAATATTGTATATATTCATAAAACTGTTCTTAATTAATTTTCAATTAATCAATTTTTAAAATGTTTGTTACCNTATAATATTGAAAAAATATTTGTTATATGATACATTACAACTCAATAACATTTTAAAAAAATTACATTAAAAAAAAGGGAAGTTTCTTTAACAATACTCAATAAACAGTTATTATTGACATCTTTCAGATAGCCTGATATTTCTTAGAATTATTAAAGAATCATGCAGTTTCAAAAAATTGTGTAAATGTCATTTAGAAAAATTTATATATAAAATGTTTTAAATGTACTAAAAATAAAAAATAAAAAATTCTCTGATCAGACTTTTCATATTTCTATCTATTTCTTTTCTTTTTAATTAGAACTATTTGAGATCCAGTACTTTTAGATCTTGAGCAATTTTAAATATCAATTAATCAATTAAAATGAATGATTTATACAGCAATTTTGTTTTTGTTTTTTTATATTATGTTTATTTCATTTATTAACATAATAAACACAATATAATTTCAACTGTTACAAATATTAAATTTTATATAGAAAAAAGAAGTATCATGGACTGAAAATACTCTGTTAAACAGTATTAATAAAATAAATATTTAAAAAATTTCATTCTTCTTGGCCACTTAATATGTACAGAAATTTTTTCTTTCTAAATATTCTACTTCGAAGTAGATTTTGAAAAATTATATTTTTCAAAATAAAAATAAATTTTATTATAAATTGATAAAAATAAGTCTTTGTATAATTAACTAATTGTTTCAAGAATCATATTCATGATGTTTCATGAAAACTTTATTATTAGAAACTGCATTTGATTTAGCTATAATGAGTCTTATAACAAACATTTTATGAAAAGTGCAAACAATTCCCAAATATCTGGACTTTAAAATGCGAACTATTTAGAAATCCATGTGTTATTATTATCCAAATTATTATTAATATATAATATACTCTAAAATATGAAGACCATTATAATAATACTCATAATAATTATTATATATTTATTAAATAAATGTATAACTGAATTAATATACAACTAATTATTAAAATAAACAAAAAGACATTTATTCTAAAAAAACATTGGAATTTCCTACAGAGAGTAAATTATCCCTCCTAAAATTTGAATTTGCAATGTGCACAATATTGAAATATTAGACATTGCTAATTTAAGTTGATTCATTATTTATATTAGTTTGAAACTTGTTTTTTATTGTAAGATTTAGGGTCACTTTATAAAGTAACTTTGTGGAAAATATTTTTGAAAGTTTAATCCTCAAAATATATATTATAAAAATACAAAAGAGATCAACTTAGTGCTGAGTGGGCTGCAATTTGAAAAAGTTGTAGACCTATAAATTGCCACTATCATCTGCCTGTCTGTCCTTCCTTAATCTTGAGAACAGAGTTAGATAGATAAAAGTTGAGACAAAATATAGATATCTTATGGGTAGTAGGCCCGAATTAACTATGTACAAACTTCTGATGCAAACTGGAAGTCATATTATTTCAATTCTAAAATTTTCCCCTGAAAGGAGTTAGACAGATCAGTGTTTTTCAACCACCAGTCCACAGACCAGTGCTGGTCCGCAAAAAAATTTCACCAATCTGCATAAAAATATTTAACTGTACTGAAGCTGGGGCCATATTCTGGTCACTGTCTCTGGTCTCTTGTCTCTAACAAGCCGGTCGCTGATTGGTTAATCCAAATGATTAGCCAATCAGCGACCAGATTGTGAGAGACAACAGACCAGAGACAGTGACCAGAATACGGCCCCTGGTGTAATTGATTATGGGTGTCATTTAAACAGTAATCTAGAGCTACTCTATGTACTTTGTTATGTACAGCAACTCTAGATAAGCATAAATAAGCTTAACAAATATGCATAATGCTTAGTTGCTTATAATTACTTGATCCATGTAAAATTATCCATAATCATACTGGTCTGTGGTGAGAAAAAGCTTGAAAAACACTGAGATAGATGACCAGCAAGACACTACTAATTTGAGATGGAGAGCATATATTTTAAATTAAATAAATTAAAAATTGCAGCCTGGTATTGTGACAATATCACAATAAAATAATTGCTCACTAGTAATCATCTTTCTAAAAATTTTAATTCCTTATTATAGATGTAAAATTCACATAGTGAACTTGAATAAAATATTAATTATTTAATACATTACAATTCATAATATATTAAATAATAATGTATGATGATAAATAATGAATTTGTAATATATTAATTATTTAATGTATTACAAATTAAACTTAATAAAAATTAAAAATGAAGGATGAATAAAAAAGTCACTGAAATTAATATGTTTAAATACAATTTGTATTGAAACAGCACAGTTTTAGAATTATTTAAATCACATTTTCAAGAAATTATCTAAAGAAAATTCTCATATTACTTAAATTTGCAACAATTATTGAGTACAAGTGAATCATTTATTGTATTTTTATTTGACTATACAATTTTTATTAATAGAAAAAGTCAATTTTAAATTCCTAAGATTTAGGTGGTAATATATTTTGCAATCATAAATTGATTCATAATCAAAGCTGAAAATACATCAAATTTTCTATAAAAGTAACCAAAACTGGTTTCAAAGAAAAGACATGGAATTCTTTAAAAGATCACTGATTTTAAAGTCCAGATAATATTACTTTGAACTGTTAATTCTAAAAATTAATCTTTGGATGCACACACTTTCATTGTGGAAATATGAAATCAAGAAATATATTTTCTTTATTAGGATTTAATCACTAAATTTAAATTATGATTCTATATTAATTCCTTTCATACAAATTTTGTTCTAAAATCTAATATAGCAAAAAAATGTTTTAAAATATTGAAACATTTTGTGGTTTAGGAAAATTGTAAAATATTAACGCTTTAAAACATCAAAATGTATCAGAAAATTAATTATACATTCATAATTTAAATTAAAAATAAATAGATAGTTTACATACATATTTAAAAATTCACATAAATATAAGATATGAAATCATTTATTAATAAGCTGTTGCTTTACAATATAATTATCTAAAACAAACTTACGTAAAATTTTAAAATGTATTGAAAAATATCAAAAAGTTAAAACCAGCCTGATATCACAAATAAATTATTCAAATGATACAAAAAAAATTTTATAAAAGGTTCATCAATTCAGTTTACTCAGTTACAATTATTGCAACTTTATAACCAAATAAAATGAATATATCAAATATAGTTCTATTAACGGAAATGGATTATAATGTTGTGTGTCTTGTTTTAAATGTCATTTTATTTTTATTTCTTTAATAGTTTTTGGATATGATACATTATTAATTTTTATTATATAAAATATAAAAATTTAATATCCTATATTTATATGATCTCTGTACTTTTGTTTTATTAAGAAATAATATTTCTTATAAATAATACATAAGATAATAACTGCAAATTATTTGCTTTTTATGAATCATTATGCTTATCATAAAAATTATGTTACTGTTACAAAAAATAAATATATTAAAATATTGGTTATTTCTTATGAAACAAATATCAAACTTAACATTATTAATATTTAAGAATACTTATCCTAGAAATCAAAATTTCAAATTTAAACAGCATTAACTTTCTTTTGGTTTTTTCCCTACAAAAAGATCAGAGTCATTTTTATCCATCATTTTAGATGTAATAAATTTTTGCAATTATTAGACAGAATATTTTCTTTAATTGTTACTTTGCAAATGCAAGAATGTTAAGTTACTGATTTTTATTCTTAATTTTGTTAATTGAATGCAAATATTATGTTTGACATAATTTTTTCATATTCAAAATATATTTTAAATATGTAAGAAAAGCAGAATAGAAATTTGATGTAATTATTATATAATTACTCAAAAATCATAAAAATAAAATTATAATACAGTTATATGAATGAATTATTCAAGTACAATAAGCTTATATTTTTGAATATATTTATTGATCAAAAAATAACTTAAAAATTCAGAGTAAGTGACTTATTTGATTAAACTGCAATGTAATTTTTAAATTACAAGTACTTATGCATCATTGAAACATTCATAAAATATAAAATGCATAATATTTTGTTTTATATTTTAAAGAAATATTAAAAGATTTTTANACGTGCGATGTATAGTTTTGGCTAAAAAGTGAAATATAGGGACATACATGTCCATTTATATATATATATATATATATTCATAAAATAGATATATATTACTTGTTCTTAATTAATATATAATAAAAATATTGCATTTTACAGTAGTCTAAAATCCTTCAAAATGTGTAATATAATTTCAAGTAAAATTAACTAAAAAATAATAATGTTTTTTCAGTATAATTAAATTTTAATAGTGAATTCACAGAATTTTATGTTTCATTTTATAGATTTTTGAATTATTTATGAAAAAATTATAACTAAAATGAATGACTATTATATGATGTGTTTAGTTTTTATCATTATTGAAAAAATTAATAATGAAGATGCTATTAATTTTTAAAACTCTATAACAGATCATTTATTTTTTGTTAAAATACTTTGAAATACTGTTTTCATTTACATATATTAATTTAAATAATAACCTACTTATAAAAAATAAAAATGTAATATTCATTTTAAATATTACAATAATTAATAAGTATGTCATGGAATAGAAACAGTTTTTAAAATAGGAAAAACAATTATAACAAATTCATTATTGGAATATATGTCAACTATAAAAATTAGGATTTCAGTCATAATCTACAGTTATTGATTATCAATGCTACAGTTTTTATTACTAATCTGCTTAAAAGAGTTTAGCTCGCTTTTTTAAATCATTACGGCGCCATTCTGGTAAACGGTAAAATTCCAAACGGGTCAAGTGGAAAATTGCATGAAATTCTTCATTTGATAAATGTCGCTGTAATTAAAAATATACAAAATTAAATATAATGATATAATTAATTTGTTTATATACTTTCAAATATTAAGAGTTTTCATCTTTACCTCTAAATGACATCTGTCAATATCTGGAGGCAGCCTATAATTATTAGTTATCAGCAAATGATAAGGATATAACTGAAAATAAAATATATATCATTATTTACTTTTAATATAGAAATAATAATTAAAAAATTAAATTAAATTATACAGAACAGGACCAATTATCTGGCTAGCTTGAGATCAGGAGTGGTCTGGATTTGTGGATTTTCTGCTTTTCTGGATGTGGGATAAACATAAACTTAAATCATAAAATAAACAACGAAACAGAAAGAATGAAACTGTATTTAACGAATACAATTAATACATTTCTAAAGTAAAGTCTGTATAATCATTATTAATTCTCTTAAAATATAGAGTACCATATATAGTGCAATATTTAGGATGAAAATTAAATAAAAAGTAAAGAACATAATAGAACTGGTGTTGTACAATGTATGAAAATCAAAAGTGGCAGCATGATGAATTACAATTGTATTTAGGCCCACCAAGTTCAAAACTAGCCAGTTTTCTGGTAATTCTGGAAGCTTGATAATTGGTCCATTACTGTATTTTAAAATTTACTATGAAAATATAGAATATTAAATTAAAAAGTATTTACTTTTGGAGGTTCATTTGATAAATGCAGATTAACATTAGGCATAGAACGTCTCAAATGTGGACTGTATGATGGATATCGGAAACTACTATAACCATCAGAATAAGGAGTACTGCGAAATGTTGCACTGACACTATGATTCTTCAATTAAATAAAATTTAAATTCATAAAAAGCATTAAAAAATAAAAAAAATAAAAGAAAATATTAATAAATCCTTACTATCAATTTATCTTGATCAAGAACAGGTGATACTGCAAAAAAAAAAAAAAAAAAAAAAAAAAAAAAAAAAAAAAAAAANCCTTTACTTTTATCTCATTTTTACACGGATTAAGAAATGAAAATTCTCTAGAATAATTTGTTAGAATAATATATTTTTCGAATATTTCAAAATTTTTAAAACTATATTAATATTTATACAAGATGTAAGAGTGTAACAATACATATATATATATATATATATATTTGTTTTTTTAATGTTAACCTTTGTTAATTATTCTCTGTCTAAATTTTCAGACTGTTATATAAAGAATCCTGCAGTGTAGAGAAATAATACTACACAAAATTATTGCTACATAAGTTTTGCTCAGCAAAAGCAATAAATTACCATAATTTATAAATTAAAACATTTACATTTAGATAGTAATAAAAAACATCACAAAAAAATTAGAGACAAAAACTTCAGTTATCCACATTATATATAAATGTGACATCCAAAGGGGGGAAAGAAGATCAGGAATAATAAGTAATTAAATAATTACGTTATATTTTAATTTAATGTTGAAAGGTCAGACAGGAAGGAAATGGCAAAGTAGAAAAAACCCACATACATTTTGTTTGATTTTACAGCTGATAACAACCGATCAGGTGACTATCCAGGTTAAAGAATTATTACTAGTGTGAGAATTTGGGCTCTTTTGTGAATTTTAAAGCTTCAAAAAATTTTTCTCATCATTATTTCCCCTCTCCCTTCAAACTTCAGGAAGTGACCTTTTAACTTTGCTACTAGAAAAGTTAAAAACACAACCCACATACTTCCTATGTTGTATGATGTTACAAACGATAAAGCCGATCAAGATGTCCATATAAGGAACAATTATTACTAAGGTGTGAGACTAACTCTGACCTTAGTCACCTCCAGTAATTACTTCAGTTATTTTGACAGCTGTTATCAAATTTATGAGATGGAACAAGTGACAATACTGGATAGAAGAAGTAATAAATTTACAGAAAGATTTCAATTTCTGACAAGTAACAAACACATCCCGGACACAAGTCAACGTTAGAAGAGGTTGCATCAGATTTTGTATTAGTCAGCCCTTCTGGGACGTGTATAAAAAGGGCTTGGACACAGTTCTCCAGGCAGACATCCACAGCTGACAGCATCCCGGGACACCGGACCCATACCACCATTCCATCCATCACCACCCTTGCCTTCCCGCCATAATCACCGTATCCTGACCTGAATGAAAGGAGGAATTCTAGCCACTAGTATAACCGCCGATCCAGGTGCGTTTCAACGAGACCCCATGCTATGAAAGTGGGAACCCATGAGGTAAACACACAGACAAAATTTTGACCCTCTCTCTCTCTGGTCTTAGTTATAGACTAGACTTAGGTTAAGTTGAACTTAAGAGAATATTGGGACCTATAAAGGCCAGAATTTAGATGACTTATCGATGACCGTCTATCTTTGTCATGATTTAGAAGTATTTTGGGATTATTCCCTTTTTGTAGCCTTTCAATTTGTACTTGTTTGTATAGCTTATAGATAATTAAATATGTTATTCTTATATTTAATTGTGTGTCATCCTTGAGTGCGACCGACACCTCGTCACGACCTCGCTCACCCTCCTACCCATTTACCACACCGACTATCCCTGACAAAAAAGCCGATAAGTGAGGAGAAGCTCAGCGCTCTAACCCCCTTGGTTCACACTAAGGTTGCACTACAATTCTTGACCTTAGTCACCTCCAGCAATTAATCTAGTTTGCTTGATAGCTGTTATCAATTTTATGAGGTAGAATGAGTAACAATACTGGAAAGAAAGAGGTAATAAATTTAACGAGACGTTCGATTTCTGACAATTAACATAAACAAATTACAAACAGATTGAACTTAGAACAAGTTACATCATAGATAGCATTAGTCAGCTCTCCCGAAAATGGGTATAAAAAGGGCCTGGACACAGTCCTTCGGGTGGACATCAACAGTGGACACCGGATCCTTCCCACTATAATTGCCGGTAGACATTCTCCCAGAGAAGCCAAGGAGCCAGCTTCCGTCTGTCCATCGCCACCCTTGCCTTGACTGCCCTGTCATTCTCTCTACCAGGATGATCCCGACCTGAAGAAAGGAGGACTAATGGCCAACTCTTATGACCTCCGATCCGAGTACATTTCACCAACATACTATACAACGAGATCTGGAACCATCGGTCTATGAGGTATATTATATATAGAATTGTAAACTCTCTCTCCCTAAGTTCTTTAGTCAAGTAGTTCTTTAGCTATAAGTAGCAGTAATGCATCCTTTGTATTCAACCTTAGAAAACCTTATGTATTAGGTTTAGTGTATATTAAATGTGTTGTCTTTATTAACCTGTGTCACCCTGTCTAATTATTCAGAAGCTTATCGACTTATTCACACCTCCCCACTCGATTTAGCCCTCCTACAGCCATCCTCAACATAGAGAATGGACTTTCCCAGCCTGCGCTGAGTAAGTGGCATTTCAGGAACAGCCCATGCCCCCGGATATCTCACATAAGTCTAGTGAAATGGATTGTATTGAGTCATCAGTATATATAAATTTACACAAGAACTGCAAAAGTATTATTATTATTATTATTTTTATTTTTTTTTTCTTTTCTTTAATTTTACTTTAAATATGTGTTTATTTGATTTCATGTTTTATATTCTACAGAAAGGGTAATCCAATGAAGGCTTATAACATAAGACAAAAATACAGGTAGCCCTTGGTTTACGCTGCAGTTCCGTTCCTACAAAAGCCAACGTAAATCGAATTGGCGTAAAACGAACCCATATTTACAGTGAGGTATAAGGTTAGGTTCTACATAAGTGAAAAATAAGCTAATAATTTTGCTTATTAATACAATATAATACAAAATACATATAAATTTTTAATTTTTAAAATGTATTTTATCATAAAATAAAGTAAAATGTTTTTATTTAAAAATTTTAGTTTTGAATTTCTTACATTTTTCGGAAAAAAGTATCCATCTTTAATTGTTTACATTTTTTATTTCTTTCATTAAAAATTTTGGAATATGGTCAAATATGATGCTCCTTTTTACATTTGCACTTCGCTCCCAACATTGTCTAACTCACAAACTTCATCCGTCAAACTTTCTTTAGTTGAAAGGATACATTAACCCAACATAGAGCTACGGACGAGTGAAGACACTGATTGATCGACTACCGGTCGCCGTAGCGCAAATATAAGGTCAGTTTGAGCGGGAAAATTCAAGGTGGCTAAGGAGAGATAAATATCGTCTGGCCAACGAGAAGTAAATTTGTCTCACTAATGATAATTTGTGATCGCTGGAAGTGCTATTGCATCGTAAGGTGTTTTCCTGAATGAACTGATACGGGATACATTCATTGGCGCTATGGATTTGGACGCCATTTATTGGACTATTAAGTTTAATATCTTGACTCGTGGGTACCTAAACGTTTAGTATTTTAATATTAATTTAATGCAAATGTATACATACCCAATAATATTAAACAGAAAAAATAAATATATTTAATAAAAATCTTTGTTTTAACGAATGTACAATGTCGCGGCTCAGTAAATACGTCAACACTGAAATGAAAATCAGTCTAGAATAGGGAAAATCGGGGAATTACACCTCAAAATGGCGAATTGCGCAGCGGCGTTATTGTGAATCGGTGTAAATTGAACTGGCGTAAACCGAGGACTACCTGTATTTGTTTTTCAGTTATTTTTCTGTTGGAAATGTAAAGATGGTTTTTTTATATACCTAACTCTTATCCAGTTTAAACTTATTATTTTCATAGAAAATTTGTTCATCATTAAAATAATCAATGTTAATGATGTACAAATTTTCTGTACAAAAATATAGAATGTATACAATGAAATATGGAAATGTATACAAAAGTATGTTTACTTTCAAAATAAACATATGTTAAATTTTCTTAAAATTTTACTCTAACTAATTTACATACTATAAAATAAAAACTGACTAAAAACATTTCACTTTTAAAAACTTATATTACTTACCACTAGATTTACCACTACTAATATCAGAACTTTGAGTGTTATCTAATTTCCCAAATGTGATATCTGTAGTCTGAAATTAAAATATATATTTTTTCAAGCAGCTTTAATTAAAAATATTTTAATTTATAAAATTATTTTTATATAATTCAGTAAAATTAAAATGAATATATTTGAAATATTTATTGATTTTGATTGATTTATTGAAATATATATAATTATTGATCACTAATGAATAAAAAAGTATGAAGTGGATTGTACTCATCAAACTTTCTACAGGTCTTCCATAGTTTCTGGTCATATCTGGCAGATGCAATAACTTCATTGATAGAGCCATTTTCATGGATAGCATACATGGACTATCACGGACAACTATGTAAATGGATTATTATGCCTGCCATATATTTAGCAATGGGTGCTATACAGGACCAGACTATATGCAGAACCTCTAAAAACTTTGGTAAGTTTAATCCACTTTTATATTCTTTTATTCATTAGTGATCAATAATTATGACATGACTCTCATATTATTAATTCATTACCAAAAAATTAAGATGTTAAAAATTAGAAGCAGGAATAATTTATAATAATAATAATAATAAAGCTGGTTAGATCGGGGATGCCTCTTTGGGGAGACGGAAGGATTCATGATTGCCATACAGGATCAGGTCATAAATACTAAAAACTACAGAAAACACATACTCAAAGATACAACACTCACAAATGACACATGCAGAAAATGTCACATCATGCCAGAAACTATACAACACATCACTTCTGGTTGCAAGCTCTTGGCACAGACAGATTACTTACATAGACACAATCAAGTAGCAAATATAATACACCAAGAGCTTGCAAAGAAACACAAATTGGCAGACATCCACGAACCATACTACAAGTATATTCCACAGACAGTATTGGAAAATAACACGCACAAAATGTATTACGACAGAGCCATAATCACAGATAAAACAATTTACCACAACAGACCAGACATCACACTCATTGACAAACACAATAAAATCACATACATTATAGACATAGCCATTCCAAACACTCACAATGTACAAAACACATGCACTGAAAAAATTAGCAAGTACACAGAACTCGCCCAGGAAATAAGGCATCTGTGGAGGATGGATAGGGTGCTTATTGTACCTGTTGTTCTCTCCTGTACAGGTGTGATACCACACACGCTACACAAAAGCCTGGGAACATTACAATTGAGTAGAAATACATACATCACACTACAGAAGGCCACTATATTGAATACATGCCATATTGTTAGGAAATTCCTTAATACTGACACTGACACTGACACACACATTTAATTTTAGTTTTGTTTTGGTTACTATGCCTTGACTCTGGTCCGGCATAGTACACAGCCACCGGTGTGTACCGAGTATAACCCACTAAACCCAACACATAATAATAATAAATATATATATATAATATATATGGATAAAAATATATATAAAAATTTATTCTTAACCATTGAATCTACATAAGTTATATGTATACAATGGACATCTGTTTCTCATGTACTTGAAGATTTTAAAGACCTAAAAAGATCTATTGAATATTCTCATAGAACTGCAACTTTAGATACTTCATGTAAGATCTTTCTAAACAACCATAACAATTTAAAAAGAGAAACCAAGTGATTGATTATTATTAAAACATACAAAAAACATATTCACAATAAATAATTTCAAGAATATTTTGTTTGGTTAACAATTATACACAGGAATAAGTTAATAAGAATTGATCTAAACGTAAAGCAAAGTCTAAAATATCTTTTCTTCAAAACAACAAAAGTTTATTTTTTTTGTTCAAAATATATAATCTATAATTCATTTAATACTCCAGAAGATCATACACTTAATGAGAAAATGACCAAATTTATAAATACCTATATACATTTACAGATCTAAAACTTGGCTAGAATTTTCATGGATTTGGAAAACAAATCTGAGAGAAAATAAAATTAAGAGATTCAAATTCTCACAAAACTATCAATAAAAATTTCAATTAATTAAAATTTCTATATATTATTGATATGTATCTATACTATAAAATCATCAGCATGTTTAAAAAACATTAATAATTTACATCATTATAAAAAATAATTAAATCTTCATAATAAATACATTCATTTTAATTAAATTAATTGAATAGTTTGAATTTACCATAAAACCATATCCACCATCCCTACCACCGACTGGCAAAGTTGCAGATTTTGTTGTCAGGCCGTAACCAGGTTTAGGTACAGATCGAAGGGAAGAAACAACTAAAAATTATATTATTATTATTATTAATTAAACTGAAAATAAACATTAAATAAAAATGCTTTTAAACACACAATATTTTCAGTTTCTCACAATAACAAATAATTATTATATGTCAATTAATATTAATAACTAAAAAAATTAATGATTAAAAAATAAAATTGAATTTTATAAAAAATAGTAAGCTATAAACATTTATTTTAAAATTAATATTTAATCAATTTTTTACAATTTAATCTACTAACCTTTGGATATATAATTAATTTGTGCATGTTTGTTTACATCGTGACCCATTATGGTTTTACTTTTATTTGTTTAATTTCTTATTTAATTGACTAATCTTTAATATTAGTTGACATTTCATATTGATTTGTCTTTATATAAAACTGTGTGTAATAATAAGTATTTCAATCAGTAAGATATTAACTTTTGATAAGTAATGAGGGATGTGAACCACTCCCATGCAAGTATTATTTTTTTTCAATATTCTTATTTTGTTGTCACTTCAAGTGTTCATTATCAGTTACAGTAATTCATCTAGTTTTGAATCATTTATGTAACATCTTAAGTCTTGTTATTCAATTATTTTCATCAAAAGAATCAAGTAGCAAAATTTTCATGTAAATGCATAAAACTAATCACATGTAAATTACAAAAATTGTATCTTTGATATTTTTTATTTTACAGGCTCATTCATGGAACTTGTTAAACATACCTTGTACTAAAAACTTTTTACTCAAGTTTATCAAATATATTTGTGCTCAGATTTTATATTTTATAATTTTATATNGACAGAGCCATAATCACAGATAAAACAATTTACCACAACAGACCAGACATCACACTTATTGACAAACACAATAAAATCACATACATTATAGACATAGCCATTCCAAACAATCACAATGTACAAAACACATGCACTGAAAAAATTAATAAGTATACAGAACTCGCCCAGGAAATAATGCCTTTGTGGAGAATGGATAGGGTGCTTATTGTACCTATTGTTCTATCCTCTACAGGCGTCATACTACACACACTACACAAAAGCCAGGAAACATTACAATTGAGTAGAAATACATGCATCACACTACAGAAGGCCACTATATTGAATACATGCCACATTGTTAGGAAATTCCTGAATACAGACACTGACACACTTATTTAATTTTTGTTTTTGGTTGCTATGCCTTGACTCTGGTCTGGCATAGTACACAGCCACCGGTGTGAACCGAGTATAACCCACTAAACCCAACATAATAATAATTAATTATATTAAAATAAAATAAAGAATTTATTAATAAGTAGTAAAACTCACTATATGTGGCGTTATTAAGCGTTTTTCTTTCGAGCACTTTCGACGAATGTACAATGACACAGTGAGTTTTACTGCTTATTAATATTACTTGGTGTGAATAACATACTAGTCTATATAAAGAATTTATTTTTAAGTCTTTATATACTTACATGCATTAACAGGACTATCATAACGAAGTCTCACTGGTGGTTCTTTACTTGCAGAAGGAGTGCGAGAAGCATTCCTTGGATCAAGATTGGCTCGTTTCCAAGCTCTTAATTTTTCTCTTTCTTTAACAGTTTTCAAAAAAACCTATTTAAAATAAATATATAACAAATAGATTAATGTTATTATTTATAATACAGTAGAGGCCCATAAACTGAAGTTAATGTGAAATGAGAAGGTGATGAGTTACTGAAAATGACAAGTCTTACAGCATAGTGATAATGCTAATCTAAATAGTAGAATTTTCATAGGGTATTATAAGTGCAAATTCACATACATATTAACTACATAACAATAGTGACTATTTCTATTTGTAGTTTAATTTAAAAATATATTGGCTATTCAGTGGCTNGTACTAGCGTACTTCAACCAATGGATCAAGGAATTATAAGAAGCCTTAAATCTCACTTCAGAAAAATTCTTTTACAAAAAATTATAACAAATATGAAAGATAAAAATAAAATGGCAATTTCTTTATTAGATGCAGTTGATTTTTTGGAAAAATCTTGGTGTAAGGTTAGTTCGCTAATAATAGCAAACTGTTTTCGCCATGCAAAATTGTGTAATAGTCAAACAGCTATTACATTTACGAAAGATGACAATGAGGACGATGACATTCCTCTATCGGAATTAATTAAAACACTTCAGAGTTCAGAAAACGGCGAATTTTTGTTATCTTCTGCTACTGAATATGAGTGTGTAGATGAAAATTTAATAACATCTCAGTTTTATACAGATGCAGATATTATTGAGCAAATTAAATGTTCAGATGAAAAAAATGTGGATGATGATGATGATAATAATGATGATAATGAAGAAGATGAAATATCAAACAGAGAAACTGCAGTGCTGTCAACTAAGGAAGCGAGTAATGCGATAAAATTATTGAAAATGTTTTACAGGTCTTGTAAAACTTCATCGGAAATAATGAACAAAATCTACGACTTAGAAAATGACATTGATAAACAATTTTTAGGTGAAAAATGCCTACAATCTAAAATAACTGACTTTTTTTAAGTGAATATTTTTATTGTTTCTTTTTAATTGATATACATTAATTTAACCTAAAAGTGAAAGATGTTGGAAAGTATTTCT